TCTCTTACCCATCCAACACTGTGTCTCCATCAGGTTCCATCCTTCAAGAGCTCATTTGCTCTGCGTACACTGGGAGAGTGTCTTAGAGTAATACACTTTCTGAGCTACGCCTAAGGGGGCAGGCTCTGCAACCATGGAAAGAATTTGCCACTTATTAGAGGAGGACCTTTATAGCTGTCACAGCTTTCAGTCATCGCTTCAGCTTTAGATTCTTTAACAGTGACACGTGTGAGTAGAACGTTTTGCATAACCACTTAGCCCAGCCTCACAAATTGCCTTTTAGAGGAGTGAGGATCAGTGGATGCGGGCAGGAGGGGAAGGAGCACCCGCTGTGTGTTGGCGGTGAGAGTATCTGCATACGGTTTGCATAACTGAAACCCGCACTCTCCTTTTTTCCAGCTTTGAGATATAATTGGCATATAAGCCACAATACTATCTTAATGTTAGTTTTGTTCCAAAATTACCTTTTCACCCTCACTGTCCCTTAGAAGTAATATACAGCAACACTGATTTGATTTTAACTCTTCATTTTTCTCTTTTTCATAAACAAATAATGAGCCCCTCTCTGTCAGGAGGTGTGCAGCTGCAGCCTGTCTGGAGGTCCCCAGGACAAAAATAGTCGCTTTCCACAGTTCTTCAGAATCGTAGAAGGACCTTGGAGGGGAAAAGCAGAGCAGATGTCGAGGAGGGTAAATACAGGGAACCGACCACTGGAATGATTGTGGTATAACGACAGTACATCCAAAATAAAGAGAAAATCTTAAAACCGAGCGAAAAGACAGATTGCCTGTGGAGGAACGGTGGCATCTGTAGAGCTTGTATTTATCATCGAAATAGGAAATGGAAATGAAGACCTTTTTGCACAGGTGAAGACCAGCACATTTTTCTACCCTTGGCCTTTAACTGAAAATTAGTAGAAGTGGGGTTCTAGCAAGAAGGAACTCCAGCCCAGGAGCAGGTCACACTGCAACAGAGCAAGGGCACAACAAAGAAATCTGACCTGCTAATGAACTCCAGTAATCTAAACAATGGCTGTCTCCCTGTGCGGGTTGGAGTACAAATACAGTGTTTTTCCAGTTGAGTATCTAACTACCTAACTACTCAGAGTGGCTGCTCCTTGTCTCCTGTTTGTGATGATCACTTCCCTTCAGGCGCGGGTTTTTAACGAGAAGTGCCCGGGTAGCTGGAATTCCAGCTGTTGGAGAACTTCTCAAAGTTATTTTGTGCATGTGTAGTTTCTCTGCAGACAGGGCTCGTGGCTTTCTTTCATGGGACACTTCAAGGGGCTTAGCACCTGAATACGTGGAAGAACTGCTGGGTTAAGGTGTCCCTGTTAAAATTGGTTACATCGATGCGTGCTCCAAGGTTGGGATTCCATGACCTGAGGCTGAACCCTGGGTAGTTCCCCTCTTTGTGGAACTCTTGAGCCCGTGGACAGATTGCTTTCTCCTCACTGTGGTCCGTGCAGCACGGCCCGGTGTGGCCAGCCAAAGCCGTGTATGTCGGGCCCCTGTGCCTGTCTCACCATCACAGTCAGTGTCTGATGGCAGCTGTTACGAGTTTCTAAAGGGAGTCACTGTCGAGCTGTCAGAAGAAGTAAAGCTTTTAAGGGGCCAATTTGAGGTATAGTAATACGTTCAGTGCTGTTGCTTCATGAATTGAGCACATCCGTTGTCTAAAGGGTGGGGTTGCTAAGTTCAGTTGTTACCTTTCCCAGTGAAATTTGCTACTGACACAAAGCAAATGCATGGTGACGCCTTAGCTGGTGGCCATATGCAACTTGTGTTTTTATACTGCAGTTGTAATGTATGTTAGACCTGTGCCTCTAATGTGTACTTTTAATTCCTCTCCTCTACACGTTAATTCATCATCTACGGAGTGCACTGCTGTCAGGCTCTTTCCTGCCTTGGGTGTGGCCACGAATGTGAAGTTGAATACCGTGGTCTGTCCCTGAGGAGTTTGACATAGGAGAGAGGGTGGCGGGCTGTAACAAAACCCTCAGTCTGGGCCTCAGTCCTAGTAAAGTCTAGAGGAAGCTGTTCCTAAGGTGTCACCTTCCACGTAGAACTGAGACCTGAGCAGCCCCTTCGTGAGGGCTGCTGTGAAGGCACAGGGCCCCTCAGACCCCTCAAACGCCAAAAGGTCTGTTTTGCGTGTGTAATTATGTTCATAATAACAAAATCTGCTTCTAAAGCTGCTCAATTTGAAGATACATGGGAGCCACTGATTAGAGCTCTCTGATGTCTTCCCTGCCCCCGGTGTCCCCAGGGCAGGGATGAAGTGTGCTAGTTCCGACCCCGCTGGGGAGAAGACAATCCCCAATTCCATTTCCATGTCCCTCAGGGGTCGAGGGTATCTTGCAGAGGGCGAAGGGTGCTCCTTTGTTAAAAGGTTACTGAGGGCATGGAGAAAGTTAGTATACTTCTTTAAATGAGCCTACACTTCTTTTTTTCATTGGTAGAACTCTACCTTTTTTATGTGAAATATTGAGAGATTCTCAGTTTCCATTGAATAAGATAATCATCTCTTTCTACCTTTATTTTTTTTTAAGAATACCTTTACAGAGCTGACATGAAATGATGAGGATGGCTGGGTTCTGAGATGGGCCTTTTGTGGAAAATGCTGAACATCGGAGGGTGATGCAGTACCGTCTCTGGTCTCTCAGCCTCCCTTTCCTGGGGATTCACAGTTGTATTAGGACAATGAGATGTAACCAACACTTCTGCAGACCCATTTGGAGAGACGAGGAATTCACTGGACTGTGTTGTACTCTGAATTGTAAAGGAAATCCAAGATTGATTGCTTGATAGGTTGGGGTTTTAAATGGAAATTTTCTTCCATGTTATTTTTATAACTATATGATTCACCTTAAAGATTGGCTTAGAAAGTTTTAAAAATATTGTTGTTATTTTATTCTTTTCAGTTAAATTGAGGCTACTATTTAAAAAAATGGATTCCGGCCTCTTTTTATGTATCCCTCAAACTACTACTTTCTTTGCCATTTCGAGAACCAGTTGGAGTGTGTTATTTAGCCTAAAAGTAGAATAAAATAAGCCTGATTTTATTTTATTTCTTTGAAAAGTGAAAGAGAAGCGCAGTACTTGTTATTCTTTCCTGAAAGTGGGAAACCAAGGGACGGATCCCGTATTTTCATGATCAAGTTACACATGCTGGGAGGTAAATGCGTTTTATGAAAATAATAGCTCTGCCGAAGGAATGCCTGTGTATGTCGTGTGTGCGTGTTCGGGTGAGATTTTCCACGTGCGCAGCGTAGGCAGGGGCTGCTTAGGGCAACGGCGTGACTGAGTTGGCGAACGGGGAGAAGCCCCAGTGCCGACCGGTCTGCAGACGTCTTCCTTCCCCCTCCCCTTTCCTCTCCTCTCTCCGTGGCCTGTTCTCCTCCCTGAGAGCCAGCGAGTCCCCCGCGGGCCCTCAGACAGTGGAGGTTTCTCGTTGCTGTCTTGCCTGTGCTCTGGGGCCTCTTCCCTCTCTCAGCTGTCACCGTGGTAGGTGTCGTGTATGGTTGTGATTCTAGGTCTTGGGTGTGGGTGACTTGGCCCACCCGCGGTCTGGAGGCAACCACCCTGGGACTCGGAAATCATTCATTTTGTGACACACGTCTGAGCATCCGCCCTGGGCCAGGCACTGCCCTAGGTGTGTGTTGTAGAAGTGTGGAGAGCACGGTAAACCTCCCGGTGTTCTTGGGGCTCCTTGGGGCTCCTTGGGGCTCCTTGATAACTTTCCGTTGCCTTCTTCTGCAGGAAGTGGCCATTTCCCCAAGCCAGGGAAATGTGTATATTTGACCTTTTAACTTTTTTTCAGCTTCTCATTTAGCATAACAGATGAATAAGACTGTCTTCAAGGGGTTTGTGAGAGAGAGGAAGAGAGACAAACAGGAAAGCGTGTAGCCATGTCTGCTGCCCAGAAGGCTGGATCTGCTCTACAGGGAAGGCAGGCGGTGGGAGGGAAGAGCCGGCCCTTCAGCCGGGGCCTGAGTGTTGTAACAGGGGTGTGCAGAGCTAAGCCTTGTGGTCTTGGGCCCCACCAGGGGGTCTGGCTTTGGTTGGGGAATGGATTTAGCAGGCAGTGAGGGTGGAGGGAAGGGACGGGCCAGGCCAAGTGTTGGAAGGCTTGACTGCAGGCTGCAGAGAAGTCTGAGTTTCCCAGAATGGCAACGATGTGACTTGCCCCCTGTTTATGGAGGGTCCTTGATGGCCATGTGTGGGATGCACTAAGAGAGAGGCTGGGGCCAGGACCCTGCCAGGTGGTTTTCTCTCATTTATCCCTTTACTGATTCAGGCAGTTCTTAGGGGGGCTTGCCTTGACTTTCTATCTACAAATGATTGCCAGTGTTAGATGCTATCTTAAGAAGAGTTGAACCAATTTAATGCTCTAACCCATCTATCGAATTTGAAATTTACATTCTGCATCTTTTGGCTGAGTGACCGAAAAATACGCATGAAGATGACTAGAAGGAGGTCACTTTGGGGGTGGGCGCGTGGGCGCCTCCGTCTGGGCCGGGAGCTTCTCCTGTCCTCTGCTTCACTGGTCAGTGATGTGTGAAAACGCAGCTATCTGTCTGCCACGGATACAGATCGATACTGTCCTCACAATGGCTGGATTGTTCAAGATTTAATTCAGAGAGAGAACTGATATCATTACGTTTTGTGATAAGAGCCGCAGAGAAAAACCGGGAGAAGTAGAATGGGTTATCTTGACAGAATGCCTCCACGGCTCTGAAGGAGCCAGCCCACTTCTCTCGGTCAAGGACGGTATTGCATTTTAAACACACGGTGGTTGTGATTTACTGTCCCTCTTATTTTTTTTAAGGTAGGAAGTGTTGTTCTTTGGACTGAGTGGAGTGCTGCTCAGCATAAAAGACACACTGTGGAACAAAGCCTGCAGCCGTGACCAATTGACATGCGCTGGCTAATGAGAAGACAGGACGGCTGTAATCAGCAGCAGAACACTCACTCACAAAGGGTCTCCTTCTCTCGTAGGACTTCCTTCGCCGGGCATCTGGCCGGGATTCTTGTTGGACTCATGTACACTCACGGGCCGCTGAAGAAAGTCATGGAACTGTGCACAGGTACCGAACAAAACCCCTTTGACCTGACAAGTTGGAAGTTCATCTTAATTTTTAAGGGAACAGAAGCAACTCCCAGTTACCCTGTGGTTCTGCTCAGGAATTCCTTATAGTCTCTTCTTAACCCCAGGGCTGTACCAGCTGATACAGCTCCTCACACTGCTCCAGAGAGGCTGCACAGCCAAATGCTAAACCTGCGGCTTTCCTAGGGGACAAATAGCAGTATATGCGTATACTCTCAGCCTTAATGCTATTCACAGAAAACCACGAGTGCCTTGAAATTGCAGAGAACTAAAGTAGTGCGTTATTCTACAACATTCTGTGAATTTTTATATGTGCAAGGCAAGTTGAAAAAGAAAATTCCGTACTGAAGTGCAAGGCCAGCATTTGGAAGAGTGACCACTGGGCTCTTGGCGGGAGGCGTACTGGTGCATGGCCAGACCGACTCTGTTACTGCTCAAAGGGTGGCTTCTGCTTTCTAAAAAACAAAAATTTCTTTTTGTTTCCTTCAAGTGGATGCTCAAGGAAAACACTTTATTTTATTGATCAGTGTGTGCATTTGTTAGACCCCAACTTAAAAGCTATACCGGTTATGACTTTTAAGGACACTGTTTTGCACACACTTGTTTTATAGACTCTACGAGTTCCAATATTTCATCTTTTATTCATTGGAAATCTTCCGAGACCGTTTAACCTTTTCTTGAATCACAAATACTTTGTTTTCACGGTCTGTGCCGATGACTGGTATCCTTGAGAAGCTCTTAGTGTTCGTGCTATCAGAGCGCGTCGGGCGCCGCACTGCTGCACCTGTTGGCGGCTGCGCTCACTCTCGGGGGTTGTCACGGGATCTGAGGCATCTGAGCAGATTCCATTTTTTGCATTTGCTCATTACAACGTTTGCAGTGCGTGTGCTCGGAGGAGGAGTGGAAGCTTCATTTATTGAAAATGTCCAGTTTTATTATATTTTTGATACAACTTAATAATGGAAGTCTAGTAATGAGCTTTCTTGCCCAAATGCTCTCAATACTGACAAAAGAAAAAAATTATTCTTGGGAGTTTAATGTTTTGTTTCATTTTTCTGTGTGTCTGAAGATTAAGTGGTTAGTGATGCTTTCTGCACACATTACAAAATGCAGGCAAGTATTTTCTGTTGTAACGATGATTTTCCCCCACAGTTACCATGTTTAAACTCTCCGCTTCCCTTCTTAAAGCATTGCCTTTTTCCTATGGAAACTTAGTTTTACGTCATTCTGCTTTGAAAGGAATACAGTAGAATATAAAAGTTGAGACAGACCTTCAGTGGTGTTTATAGATAGCCTGCGAACTCTGGGCCTTTCTTTTTTCTGGTAAATCTGGAGAGAGATCTAGAGTGATCTGGGGATTGAGGTGACACAGGGTCCCCGTGGAAAGGAACCTGGCGTGTGCAGACTGCTGTCTGGTTACTCCTGGGAGAGCACCATGCCTGTCTGTATCTGTATCTGAATATGAATACAGATATCTCACATTTGTATATGTGTGCAATATATAGACATAGAATGATATAACTTTTCATACACAGTGATATCTGTATATACACAGTGGAGTACTCTTCAGCCATAAAAAGAAGGAAATCCTGTGGTTTGGGACAAAAATCAATGAACCCGGACAACATTACACTCAGCGAAATAAGCCAGACAGAGAAAGACAAATGCTATACGATCTTACTTTTCTGTGGAATGCAAAAAGGTTGAAGTCATAGAAGCGGAGGGTAGAACAGTGGTGGCCAGAGGCTGGGGGCGGCGGGGAGGTGTTGGTCAAGGGCACAGACTTGCAGTTAGAAGGCGAGTCAGAGCCGAGGACCTGAGGTGCAGCATCCTGACTGCAGTTAATGCCGTGTGGTGTACTCGCGGTTCACTGAGAGAGCACACCCTACCCGAAGGGTCCTCGCACCGACACAGAAATGGTAACTGGGAGGTGGTGTGTGTGTTAATTAAATTGACTGTGGCAATCATTTCATACATTATATGTACACTGAATCATCACAGGCATAGCTTTTCAAAACACTCACACTGCACCAACTAAATAGATACAATTTTTTTTATATGTCAGTAATACTTCAATAAAACGGAAGGCAAAAAAACCTATGGCTATTATTAAAATGTGTGTTTCCTTCATATTTAGGTATTTTTTCTTTCAATACTGGTTACCCAAGACAGCAACCCTACTTTAATAGTTCAGGTAAGTAGTTCATGTCATTTAATAAATGTTAATTTAATTTAATAAAAACTATAGCGTTGGCCACGGCAGAGCCACTCGGAGGTAATTCTAGTGATGATGTTGTCGAGCCGCCCATACGTGATGTAGCTGTGCCTCTCGCATGCAGGAGCTCAACGTGGGGCCAGCCCAGGGCGCACGCCTGGGTGGGCTGGCGGGGAAGACCACCGGTGCGGTGGAAACACTGTATGATCAACATGAGGTCTCTCAGACAGCGGAAGATTCATACGGGACCCAGGTGCCTTTATTCTCCGCCAAAGAGAATGCCCTGCTGGCGGAGTGTTAGAAGTTAGTTTCGGATACGCAGTTCTCCTCAGTTCTACCCAACTACCTATTCAGAAAGCATCATGCTTATCCTAAGATAGGAATTCCTGTGGTAGTTAATGCCGTGGACTTTCTAGGTGTCTGTGTAAGTAGGTAGAAAGGACTTCTGATGAGAGCATACGACCTGTTTTACGCTGGGGCCTCACATTGCAGCCTGGGGAGGCTGCCCTGCATTATCCCGGAGCAGAACCGGCTGCAGATCTTAAAGAAGCCACGGGCCACGAAGCCCTGGGTCTCTTTTGTTGTCACGCCCGTTGAAAACCACTGCGGCTTAAATCCAGGGCCTGCGATCGTTGATGTCTCGGGCCAGGCAGCTAATGTTTTAGATGCTGCGGGCTTTATTGGCCATGTGGTCTCTCTCACAACCAGTCAGCCTGTCAGTAGCATGAAAGCAGCCGTAGACAATTAATAAACAAAGGGGTGTGGCCGTGTTGCAATAAAACCTTATGGACAAAAGTCAGTTGATTTTGGACCCCAGGTTGTAGCTTTCCGATCCCTGGTTTTATTGTCTCCATTTCTCTCCTCCTGTTATTCCTGATATTTTTCTTCAAATCGTGAGCATAGTTAAAATAGCTGTCTTAAAGTCCCAGAACGTTAATTCTGTCTCCTCTATATATGTAATTCTTTTTTGCATCTGTTTCACGAGATTGATTTTTCTCCCGGTTGTGGGTCACAGATTTGCGTATCTAGTAAGATGTGATTGGATGCTGGACATCGCACGTATTGTGGTGTCGAGTGCTCAAGTTCTTCTTTTAAAGGAGACTGGACTTTGTTCTGGCACCCAGTTAAATTCCTTGATGATTAGTTTAATCCTTCTGGGGCTAGTTTTAGAATTATTTAGGGTGGGTCTAAAGTAATTTTTTAAGATTTAATTTATTTTTAGAGAGAGTAGAAGCATGGGAGAAAGAGAGGGGGAGAAATATCAATGTGTGGTTGCCTCTGGCCTGCAACCCAGGCCTGTGCCCTGACTGGGAATCGAACCGGAGACCCTTTGGTTTACAGGCCAGCACTCAATCCACTGAGCCACACAAGCCAATGCTAAAGTAATTTTGGGGGGGATAATTCTGCACTCTTACTGAGGTGTTACTTTTCTAAGATCTCTCCTGAATGCCTGTTGCTCACCAAGGACTCTCCAATGCTACGGGTTGGAACTCAAATGTCCCCCAGCCCTCCCGAGCTCCGGGAGCAGCTCAGGTTATAGTTCTCAGTCATTCTTGGCCCGGTCTCATGGAATTTCACCTTTGCACATGTGGCTTAATATCCAGCAAATCTCCAGGGAAATCCACGCAGATTTCTTCGTACCCAATTTTCTCGTTGGCTGTACTCCGCCCTGCACATTCCAAGTCAGTGCAGGGGTCTGCTGCCTTCCCCATCCCTACCCCGCTGCCCGCAAAGTGGCCCAGGCTCATCCCCTTGACTTCCTTTCTCTAAGGGTTCAAAATCCTGTATTGCCTGTCACACGGTGCCTAAAAACATTACCTTCATATCTTTTCTCCAGCCTTTGACTTGATTATGGCGGAGGGCTAATCTGGTCCAGGTCCTTCTTCCTGGCAGAAGGAGTCCATTGAGCAACTTGAGCGGAGTGCACTCAGTACTGGCCCGGGTGGGAGGAGGGGGGTGCAGTTCCTGGAGGTTTCCCCAAGGACGGCTGGGTCTCCCTCAGTGGAGTTTAGGGAAGCAGTGCCGGTAAAGGGCTTTTCAGGCCTTTATTCAAAGGCCTGTTTGGAATTATCCAGAGTGTGCTGGAGGGCCACTGAAGGATTTCATCAGTAGAGTGATTCTGTTGGAGCTACATTCAAGCTGTGTATTTGATGTGGTTCTGACGGCCAGGATTGTGCATAGCCGTCCTGCCTGTCTGCATGACTCAACGGAGCAGATTTCACAGCATATCCGTGCCTCAGATTCACCCCAGGCCCGCCAATCTGAACAGGGATGGAGACTGAGGCTCGGACTGCTTTTTAAAAGCTTCCTGGCTGATTCGAATGGGATCCATAACAAAAGCAGAGACTTAAGGGTTACCGTGCAGGTTACCTAGGTTTGGGGACCACAGAAGAGAAGACTGTCACTGTCCGAAGAAGAGGCTTCACTTCTGAGGCTTCCAGAGTGGGTGATGTGTTTGCTCAAAGTCTTGGAAACATGGTCTTGATACAGGGGAGGGACAGTGTCTGGGCAGCGACAGCCCACCTGCTTCTGCCTGTGGGCTTGCCCAGGAGAGGAGGGGCAACGGTTAGTTACCGGCACAGCCGATAAATAGGGTGGACCCCTGAACAACACAGGTGTGGGCTGTGCAAGTCCACTTAGGTGTGGATTTTTTCAATAAATATGTACAGTGCTAGAAACATCTTTTCATTCATATTTTCTTAACGTTTTCTTCTCTCTAACTTAATTTATTGTAAGAGTACAATGTATGATACACATAACATCCAAAATACGTGTTAATCAACTGTTTATGTTAACGGTAAAGTTTCCGGTCAGCAGGGGATAGTTAGTTAAGTTACAGGGGAGTCGAAAGGAATATGCAGGTTTTTGACTGTGTGGGGTGGGGGATAAGTACCCTGACCCCAGTGTTGTCCAAGGGTCGACTGTATAGTCATCCAGAGGGCCACTGGGTCCTTTGGCTGTTGGGCAGGGAGAGCAGTTTCTGCTGAGTTCAGTGTAGCAGGGCTCCATCGTCCTGCACGACTACCCAGGGTTGGGTGGGAAGACCACTTTGGTCCTGCCTCCAGGCTCCTCTCTTCCCATGGACTCGATTCTCTCCACTGCACAAGCGACGTGGCCTGTGATGCCTTAGAGTTGTTAGAGGAAAGGGGGCTTTTCTCCTGCTTCATCTTTTACAGCTCCACAAAGAAACAAGAATGGTCCCCTGGACAAAAAGAATAATGCACAGACATGGCTCGAACTGCCACAGATTACCCCGTTTTAGTATCTCATTGTGATAGCTGGCCATAGAGGTTTAGACATGTTAAGTAACTTGGCCCAAGTCAAACAGGCTGTTAGTAATAAATAGAACTAGGACTGAAAACACAGGGCACTGGTCCCTACCCCTGCTTTTCCTGTTGGATAAGGATAGGAGATGGGCGTTCTGCTGATTTAACCTTACAAAATAGAGCAGTTTCCCTTACTGTCTTTTCTTCCCCTTTTATTGCACTTACTTAAAAAAAAGGGCGGGGGCAGTGAGCTGCTGCTTTCTTGCTTCAGGAGGAAGAGGCTTATGCACAGCAGAGACACAGGCCAGGAAACTGAAGACAAAGATAAAAGCCCCCCGTACCTCTCCACGTGTCCCCTGTGAGATCACCATGTTTGTATTCCTTCCTCTGAAGGGACAGGGTTTCTTCAAAGGCAGAGCAATACCAGGCCAGGTGGCCAAGCTCCTGGTCACAGAGGAAACTTTGATGAGAGCCTATGTATCTCTTACAAGTAGCGGTTTATTCTGAATGTGGCCGTCCTTCGCTGAAAAAGCCTTGAGAGGCCAAAGAACCTCATGAATGTTTAAAAAGCTGCTACCAATTTTTCTCATCTTGGTGGTGTTTCTTGATGTCTTTTGCCATGAAGTCCTGGGTATGTGTATGAAGAACAGATGGAGGAACAGTTAAGAGCATAATGATAACCAGAATCTCTTTTACTCCAGAGCCAAAGTATATTGCTGGAAAAGAATATTAAACTAGTATTCATCGCAGGATATAATTTAAACTTATTTATCTTAAGTGTTTGATTGTTAGGTCTTCCCAGCCATGTTTATTATGAAGATTAAAAAATATCTGATTGGCCCAGCAGAACAGCTGTGGAAAATTTGGGGTCCTAGGAGACCTGGTCTCATTGTACTAGATATGGATGGGATTTTGGGTCCTCTATGATGATTTATGACTGATGATACAGAACTTTTAACCACACTAATCTTTTTGACTTAAGGCACTAAAACTTTCTCTTTCTCTCTCCCCATGTTTTGTCTGACAAGTACCGAATTAGGTTTTATAATATTCAGATGTTTAGAGTTGTAGACTTTATTTGATTAAGGCTGGGGTTATTGTTGTTTTAAGAAATAACATGAAGAAAAAGGTTTTTATCTGTAAAGAAAATGTTGCCTGAAATCATGGCAAACTTACCTGGAGATTAAAACTCTACAAACGTAGGCGGGGTTCCCGATACCTGTGCAAGGTGGGCATGTGGAGCTTCTGGGTTACTTTGGATTTCGAACTGGCCGAACGTGTTGGAGGGTGGAGAGGTAGGAATGCTGCGTAGACCTGCGACGGGATGACTGTCCACGGGGGTTTGGACAGTGGCGATGAGCCATATGGGGACGTGCCCAACATGCATTTTTGTTGCACTAAAGTGATTGGCACTCTTAGGGGGTTGGACAGTCTCTCTGTTCAGGGATTGCTGAAGCGCCGCATGGTATTCAGTGACTTATCCATAAACAATCTGTTATGTTTTCGAACGGTTGCCCCCCTCTCTTGTTCTTTGTGAAGCAGATACATTGATTGTGTGTTGACAGGTTGTCCTGACATGGAAGTTGTCGCGCGCGTGCGTGTGTGTGTGTGTGTGTGTGTGTGTGTGTGAAGCATGAAAACAAGACTTGCAGCCGTGCCCCAGGCTCCCATACGCCCTGGACATGCAGCTTGCTGGTGGGTGTGATCTACACACAGCACTGGGAGCTGAGTGTTTCCGATCTTTTGCACAGAGGCCGATTTGGGGAAAGGTAACCACATCTAAAATTGTATCCAGATCCCATGTCAACCCTAAACCATCGTGAGGCTTTGAGAAATTTACTTACATCCTTTTCCTGTTCCGAAAGCCATAATGTTAATATTCTGACATGGGAAAGGTGTGAGAGAGAACGTGGAAGTTGGGTTATTGGAGGTAGTTAGTAATTCTCACTAGGTTTTACTACATTCGGAGCAAGGGTTGTCGGAATTAGCCCCCCAAAAAAATTCAGAACAATTTTATTTTATTATTATTTAAACCATTCATCTTTGTGACATTCAGGGACAGTCGGTAAAATAGTTCCAAGATTGAAGAGTGTGGCATTAATCGGTAAGACGGGACAAAGGCTCTGAGTAGACATTTCTTTCAGTGAGACATACAGATGGCCCATAAGCACATGGAGAGATGCTACCCATCACTGATTATCAGAACCGTAGTGAGATTACCACCCACTGGGGTGGCTGTCATTAAAAAGACAAATGGTACCAAGTGTTGGCGAGGATGCGGAGAATTCTGCACCCATGTCTGTTGCATGTGAGTCTAAAATGGTGTGACTGCTGCTTTGGAAAACATTCTGACAGTTTCTAGTGTTCAGCGAGACTCCACTCCCAGTGTGTACCCAAGAGAAGTGAAAAGGTACATCCACACGAAAGCTTGTACAAAAATATTTATAGCATCATTATTCACAGTAGTTAAATTGTAGAAATAACCTAAATGTCTACCCCCTGATGAATGAATAAACCAAATGTGGTACATTCACATAATGGAATATTACTCGGCCATGAAAAGGACTGAAGTGCTGGTCCATGCTATAGCATGGGTGAGCCTAGAAAACAGTGTGCTAAGGGAAGTAAACCAGACACAAAATAGCACATATTAGATGATTCGACTTACATGCTTGTCCTGAATAGGCATAGTTCTAGCAACAGAAAAGTAGATTCGTGGTTAACTAGGGCCAGGAAGGGTGTGGGGGGGTGAGAGCTAAAGGCTACAGGTTTCTTGGGGGCAAGAGGGGATAAAAAATGTTCTAAACTTGACTGTGGTGCTGATGGCCCACCTCCGTGAACACACCGAAGGCCACCGAGTAGCACACTGTATGTGGTGAGTTGTACAGGGCATTGAGTATGTCTCAGTGCAGCTGCTGCAGAAGCAGAACCAGTAGGCACAGACGCGTGACAGGCACTCATGTAAACACATGCTGCTGCGTTAGAATGTCGGCTGAAACTAAATGGGTGTGTTTCATTGTCACTTCATTGTTCATGTAAAAACAGAGACTTTTGCAGTGCCCGAGAGTCCTTATGGGAAACAGTTAAACTTTTTCCCCTCTCCATATCATATATTCGGAAAGCTTTTTATTCATGATTGGCACAAAAGGGAGTTTTAAAATAGCTTCAGGACCAATTATCAAAAATTCCGGATATGATATATCAGTTTACCAGAGTCTACTCAGCAGTATTCCTGGTTTTGGCCCGTTGGTGAGTCTTTTTCCCCGCAGTCTTATTAAAGCATCAGCTTATTTGCACCCAGGCACGTCCTAGGATTTTGGCTGATATGGTGACATACGACACAAGACTCATAGAGGTTGGAATTTTCATCAACAACAAAAAGCACGTAAAGTAAACATTTGAAACATCATCTTCAAAGGGCGTAAAAGAAAGGAAAAAATGAAACAGACTATTACTTCTCTCCCATTACACCAGAATTAAATTGGTATTTTTCTGTAGGGGAAAAAAAATCTCTTCCCAGTGAATTCTACAAAAGTGGGTGATTGAAGAGAAAGTAAAGAGTGAACCCAAACTGACTTGAAAAGATTGATGTTAATAACCTTGCAGAACTGAACTTTGCTCTGTAATTGACCTTTATTCACGTGGTGTCTAAGTTGGGAACTGAAGCATTACTTAAGGGCCAGGTTGTCTCTTTTCCCATTTTATCTGTAACCGATTTCTTAAAAGTAACAGCAACTATGGTCTCTGACGGGGAATTACACGTGCAGAGACATTGGCTTGTCTGTCTCAACATACTCATCGCTGCCCAAAGCATCGCACCCAGCACAGACATCCTGCCATCTGCACAGTAGACTCTGGCCTGCCACCCGTGGCCAGGAGCTACTGGACAGGAAGGCGTCATCCACTGTCATTCCAATCACCCCCCCGACTGTGTCACTAAAAATGCACCAAGTATGAATTAGCTCTAAGCTGGAAGAATTCATTGATTTGTCATCAGCCCATTCTGGGCCCCCTCTCCAGCACCACTGACCACCTTCTAAATTAACACCTTCTTCCTCTTCAGCATGTAAGGACTAGCCCATGCCCGGCACCATGCTGAGCTCTGAGGATGCACTCCAGTGACGGGGGTCACCGCCGACCCTTGCGGAGGAATTCTCCACTTGCCAACTTTTCTTATTTTGAGGATTATTACCGTACCCAAAATAAGGACAGGAATTGTTTTCTTGCCTTTGCTTACAAAACAGGAAGGGTGAAAAGAGTCTGTGACCATGTTCTGTCCCCTGTTCATCATTCCCCATAGGCTACCCTGGGTACCGGGATTATTACTCTTACGGCCGGGAAGGCTACCGGGAAGAGGCGCCCAGGAGGTACGATGCGTACACAGCAGGCTTGAGCGAGGAGGAGCAGCTGGAGAGAGCCTTACGGGCCAGCCTCTGGGACCAAGGTAGGGGCTTTGCGCCTTCACTCGTTTGAAAGTGTACCTCACCGGGCAAGATGGTCTGAAAAAGGACCGTTTGCAGCAACTTAAACTCGAAACAGTTTATGAAAAGGCTATGTAGGTGAAAAAATGTGTGCACCGTGACTGCTGAGAACAGGGTGTGATGCCCTGCACCCTGCAGCCGGGGGAGTAGGGCTCACAAGGCGCCAGACTGTGAGTGTTGTTCAAGTGCTTCTTTTTATAGGCCTGCTGCACTCAAGGCTTTGAAATTGAAGTCAGGAAACTTTTTAAAAAATTAGGTGCATGGGGAGGGGTTCGCTTTGGGACTCATGTCGGAAAAGCCGGCTGCATGTCACTGGCCATCAGGGCTGCCCACAAGCCTCTCTGACTGTCACTCAGAGAGCCCGATACACATTCAGACTTGGGGTTCCTCCCGACCCCCTGGACCATCCCCTCTTTGGGCAGAGTCCAGGAATTTGGATTTTTAACTGGCTTTCCAGAAGATTCTCTCACAAACGGATATATGAAAACCACTGTGTTTATTTTGCCATCTCTGCTGTTGTCTTGGCTTACAAGTTTGGGTGTTACTGTCATTATGATTTTGGTGGCGACTGAAAATCACCTATTCCCTCAACAAGCATTAATTAAAGTCGTATTGTTTCACGGACTGCATCAGGTACAATAGTGAATACAGGGAGGCAAGAGAAGGAACCTGTCCCCAAAAAGTGCACAGTCTCTGGTAGGGGGACCCTGCTGGGTGCCCTCAAGCTGAGGGATCCGTAACATGAGGTGCCTAAGAGAGGCTCAGGCTAAGCGCTGTCAGCGTGTCACTGTGGAGGTGACATTGCAGTTGGACCTTCAAGAATGTGTAGGGTGTGCAGAGATGCTGAAGGGCCTCGCAGACAGGAGTCGGTATCTGCACAGACAGAAGCGGGGGTGTGGCCAACCCTCACTTTTGGAGTAAGCGTTAAGAGAAGCAGGGGGAGAAGTGTGGGGAGCAAAGCTGGGGCCTGGTTGCAAGTCCTAGAAGTGAACAGGCCAGGCGGAAAGGGGGTCAGCATCTGGTGTCCATGCCAACAGAGCTCTGCCCGGGGCAGTGATGGGGTCAAGGCTGTGTGTCATGAATCTGGCAGGAGGTGTTCAGCAAACAAGGACTGGGCACTCGTGGGAGGTACCAGGCATCATGCTAGATTCAGGAATACATAAATTAGCGCAGCGTGGTTTCTGACTTTAAGGAGTGTGGTCTTAGCGTGCTCCTTAGCATATTCCAGTGTGCGTGGAGGTGGGGAATGACAGCAAGAGGGGAGCCGAGTCAGAAGACTGCTGCAGTGTGAATGAGACAGGAAAGCTTAAATCATGATGTTGGCAAGGGAACGTGGACAGGGAGAGATAAAGGAATATTTCTCAGGGAAGTATATAGGAACTATGGTGTATCAGTTGGCTAATCCTATGTAACAAATCACAGTAACACAGGTGGCTTAAAACAATAAACATTCCTTCTTGCTCTTGAGTATGTGAATCAGCTGCATCAGGCTTGTGTGATCTTGGCTGGCATGCTAAGGCATCCGCACTGGTCAGCTGGGGCTGGCTGCTGTCCAGTGGCCTCGTGGACACACCCATCTGGCCGTTGTCCAAGGTGATGGCAGGGGTCAGACCAGACACCCCGTCCAGCAGGCCAGCCCGGGCCCCTCCACAGGCCTTTGGGGTAAGGGCCCCAGGGGAGTGTGGGACCAGCCAGGCCTGTGCTGACACATTGTCAGCTCCACTGTCTTGTCGCTGGTCCATGGGCTGGGGAAGTCAGCCCCACCTCTTCCCAGGAAAAGCTGCCTTGCCACACTGCAGTGCCACAAGAGCCTGGACAGAAGGAGAGGTTCAAAATTTCGGCCAGTCTTGCAGTCGCCACACCACAGCACCACAGCAGTCAGAGGGACTGCCTGTATCACGGTCACCAGAAGACTGCCTTGGCCTTGGAGTCCTAAACTCAGGCAGTAGCCCCCGGCACCTCCATTGTAACTGATTCTTGTGGTTATTCCGATACACATGGGAGTTTAGTCACTGCTAGACAAGAAGGGAAATGTTATGGGCCAAGTAGAGCAGGGCAGAGCTTTCAGCGTGGACTTTGTGCAAAACTGTATTTAGCACCGTCAAAGGACAGTGCAAGGAGACTTTTTTTTGAAGTGATGGATCTGTTCTGTGTGTCAATTGTCGTGGTAGGTACACAGCTCTTTGCACTTGTCAACACCGCAAGAGTAAATCTGAGTCTAAAGAAATTTTAAAAGAGGTAAATAAAAATTAATGGGGAACCCAGTGAAGTAGCTGACAGTCTTACAAAGAACATCAAAGATCCGTAGGAAGTTGTGGAGAAATAGGACGTTCGTTCGGTGAGACAGTATCACCTCCCAGCCGACACTGTCACAGCCAAGGGGAAATGCACCTTTGTGACGGAGAGGGCCGGCTGTCACCACCTGAACCCAGCGACCACACAGTGGCATTATTACTGGGGTGACCTGACCTTGTGTGTCTGTCTCCCGATGGGATGCAAGATGTGGAACGCCGAGTTGGTGTGACATGTCCCTGCTAAAAACGTGTGCCCTGCCTCTGATTAAGTCGTCACATGTGCGTGTCACTGCACAGGAAATGCTTGGAATAGCAGAACAGTGAACAACACCGCGGAGAGATAACCGGACCACCGGTGGGATTTCCACGGTTCAGTGAGACTGGTTTCCTTGAGGGGAAAGGGTCATTAAAAAAAGCAGGATGTGGTTTTTATGTTAGAAGGAAATAACCAAATGTGACATGAGAACCTTTAAAAACTGGCTATAAAAGACATTTTTTGAGAAAGCTGGGGAATTGTGTTTGGACTGTATACTCGATGTGGACAGGGAAACGGCCTTGCTTTCTTTGATAAGTGCTGTGGTCCAGCAGCAGAGTGGCCTTTACTCTCAGGACATGCACACTCAAGGGTTTAGAAGCAAAGTACTGGGATGTCGGTAACCTGCTTTCTGGGGTCACCCAAACAGGCCTCTCCTCTCCTTCCTTGCCCCTCCCCCCCTCCTCCCTCCACCAGTTCTGTGTTCAGATAACTTTGGGAAACTCTTCTGTGCCCCCGGAAGACCCCAAAGCACATGGGGGTGCAGATGGTTCAAATGGGCTTTGCAATCAGGACACCCGTTCATCGAAGCCGCACTTCCCAGACGTGCTTGGCCACAGAATTTCATTTTCAGTGAGTGATGTTAAGAGCACATGGACCCAGTTCCAGGGAAACTGGTTGGAAGAGCCTTCCTGAAGTGCGTCACACAGTAACTGGCGACAGCCAAAGCTTCCTTCCAATTAAGTCTTCAGTTAGGTTCATCTTACTCTCAATGAGTTTTCCTTGAAGCACTTTGTGAGTGTCTTGTTAAGAATGAGAAACCAAGGAGCCATTTTTGAAAGATCTTTAGTATTTTTTAGCCTTTTTTTCCCTATGGAAAAATATTTGGTTTGAGTTTATTATATGAAATTCTGACCATATAGTGCATTATTATTTCGTATCTTACTTTTTTCATTTAATATTATGTTGTAATTATATAGCCATACCCCTAAATTTGGAACATATAGATCCTACATATATATTCTTAGATTTATACCTAAGTATTTTTTTTTTTTTGGATAGAGAACTCTGACCCATTACGAATAGTACTTGTAAAAAAAAGTTCTGTTTGTTGAGATTATTATATACTTCCTCTTCTTTGCTCTGTTCACATATTAACTTAGTTTGATTTTCGAAGGCGAAGCCGGTTTGCGCCCGTGGGATGAGTATCGCTGGTTGTGATGCTTTATGGTCCATCCTGGTGCAAACAGCACGGGCGCCGAAAAGTACGTGTGTTCTGCCCTCGCTGGTGGCACATCCCACAGAGCTGCTGGAAACAACCCCGCTGATGGCGGCGTGCGTGTCGCTCAGGTCTCTGTGCCACCCTGGTCGCCTGTGCCGTGCACCCGTGAACACTGTGGGCATTTGAGTTGCACCGGCTCCTGTGAGTGATGTTGCCCTGGGCTCCTTCAGGGCACCAGGGCTTCCACTTCCTCCAGTGCCACCTTGCTTTCCAGTGGGGGCTGACTGGCTGGAGAGGTTTCCGCAGAGTCCACTTGAACTTCAACTCCTCCTCTGTTCTCCGCGGTAACTTGGGTGACAGGACGGGGAGGGGTGTGGTTCGCACTCCACTTGCTGTCTCCCCGTGGTGCGCGCTGCTGTTGCCTGTTAGGCTCCGCCTTTGAGTCTGGTGGCAGGAGCCAAGTGGGAGGTATGCTCTGGTTTTTTTCCCGTCCAGTATTTATGTTCTCTCTCTATATAGAGTAAGCTAGGGTTTTTTACAAACTAAGGAGAGTTGACCCACGGTGTTGCCTTACTAGTTTCAGGGACACAAGAGTGACTGCAGCATCAGCCGACTTAGGCTGTCACGGCATCCCTGGGTCTGGAGGTGTCCCTGCACCGCCCCTGGGTTTAGAGACGTGTTGTGTTTTGTCCTCCCTTTCTCCCAGTCATTTAAGGGTTTTGATCCAGAGGGAGAGCAGGGGAGAGGGATCCAGGCAGCCTCTGAGTCAGATCTCCCCTGCACTGGCTAAGGCTCCCTCCCCAGGAAGGACAAAGGGCTCCCTCTGGACTCTCCCCTCCCCTTTGTGAGAACCCCATGAGCTCCAGCAAAGGGCTGAGAGTGGCTGTGAATTCCTTCATGTTCTGTGGTACACAGTCTGTGACTGTATTCTGTGTTCTCTGGCTAGCTCACACTTGAGCAATTTGATAACGGTTTGGGCCACAGTCTTGTTAGTATCCCGCGGGGTGTCCTAGGTCGGCGAGGGCTCCAGTGGCGTTCTAGACTTCTGTTTCCTGGGGTGCCCCGCTGTCCCAGCTCTCTGACGGACTCGGGAAAAGTTACTCATTTGCAGATTGTCCAGCGTTTGTGTTTATTATAAGGATGGGGGTGATGCTTTCTCCATCCCAAGTGGAAGCTGGAAGCCGTCCTTATTCT